TATCCCACTCTTTACTGCCTGATATCAGGCCCCTTTTCTGCATGAGTTCATTGAGAAATAATTAGCAATCCTTCTCCAGCAGCAGCTGCTGCTGTCTGTGAATATTTTGGAGGTTGTCCTTTCCAGATTCTGAGGATACTGGTAGAAACCAGACCTGATTATGTTAGGCTGATGTTTACATGGCCAGTGCTAATTTTAGCAGGGCTGCCTGTGGTTTTAAGTGGAGTGACTCTATACTAATAATTTTAATGGAGAAACTATCCAGTCAAAAAACACCCAAACAAACAAAAGTGTCAAGTCTTAAATGATTCTCCATCAGACTTCAAGAAGACATAGTGACCTCTGCCTCATCTCTCTTTTTTCAATTAGAGGAATCTGAACTGAGTGCCATTCTTTGGAGTACAATCAATGGAAGGCAATCTGAGACACTACAAAATGAAGTGCAATACATCAAGGAGATAGTCCTTTCAGCCTCTAGAAAATCTGCCATCAAAGCACCTTACTAATATGAAAAATACATGGCTTTAAGATAAGGTTAGATGAGAGGATGATGATTCTTTTCAAAGATATTGCAAGATACTTTGCTCATTGCCATCACAATTTTACCAATGTGGCCCTGCCTGTGATGCTTGCTTTTAAACATTTCCCTAAGGTACTGCAGAGGCAACAACTGCATTTTTACCCATCTGTATTCCTTCCAAATAGCATCCCAACGATGGGGATCCTCTGCTTCATTACTTTAATTAATTTTAGCTCTCGCATTTATGTGCTTTCTAGGGCTGACAGAGAAATTACATAGAACTTGACCACAGTGCAGTGCCCTACAGAAGTGAAGCAGGGAATCTGAAATACACTCATTTTGATTTAATTACCTAATGCAGTTCTGATTTCTAGACTCAAGTGTCAAAGGATGCAGTGCCCAAGAAATCTTTTAATCAGCCTTTGGAGAGGCTTGAGGCAAGGCTTGAAAACAGGTTACCTAAAAAAGAAATGAGGGAGGAGATAGATCTCTTCTCTGTAAGACAGCTGACTCTAATTGCAGCCCTTGGCTTGAATCAGATGGCTTCAGTTTTTTAAAGGGTCAGCTGAGTTTACTCTGCTATCACTGTTTCCTAATGGCCTCTAGGACAGTGAAAGTCAATTATTAACAAAATGTGGCTCAAAGCATTTTACTAAATATGATGCAGCTCTATTAAAACAAACAAACAAACAACCCAAACAAACAAACAACAACCCCACACAAACCTCACTATGTATTTCTGTGGATTTCTTATTAAGAATTTGTGGATAGTTATAGAAACATAGAATGGTTAGGTTTGGAAAGGCCCTTAGGATCAATTAGCTCCAGCTCTCCTCACACTAGACCATGTCTCCCAAGGCTCTGTCCATCCTGGCCTTGAACACTGCCAGGGATGGAGCACTTACCGCTTCTTTGGGCAACCTGTTCCAGTGCCTCATCACCCTCACAGTAAAGAATTTCTTCCTTATATCCAACCCGAACTTCCTCTATTTAAGTTTAAACCCATTACAGCTTGTCCTATCTCTTACAGTTCCTAATGAACAGTCCCTCTTCAGCACTCTTGTAGGCCCCCTTCAGATACTGGAAGGCTGCTATGAGATCTCCATGCAGCCTTCTCTTCTCCAGGCTGAACAGCCCCAACTTTCTCAGCCTATCTTCATATGGGAGGTGCTCCAGACTCCTGATCATCCTTGTGGTTCCACTCTGGACTTGCTCCAACAGCTCCATGTCCTGCTCATGTTGAGTCATCACAATATAAATACATGAAGATAGGGGTTCTACTGCTGGTATCAGTTCTTGGTATACCTGGCAGGTTACTTGAGATCCACAGGCAAATAGGAGCAACTTGGCTGGTAATGCAAATTTGTATTAAAGATGTTCACATAGATACTGTCTTTTGCGCTGGCTGACTTTCTCTAAATGAGAAGAAAAGAAAAGCATGAAGCAATGTGTGGTTTTTGCAGTTAGATCTATTTCATCTGTTTTATAAACCAGGCAAATTCATAAGGAAATAAATCTGTACTAGCAGTTAATGTTCAGTTGGTTAGTTGACAGCTGCAGGCAAGCCCAGTGGTACAGAAATTACTGTCGTTATGAAAAGCTTCCACTAAGAAGATATTTATTAAAATTGTGAATCCCATCTGTTTCAACAGCAATATTGTAAAATTTATCTTTTCATGATCTTTAATAACCAATTTTCTGCCAGAATGACCCAGAATGCTATCTTATGTGTTCTGTATTTAAATTGATTAAAAAAATCCAATGCACTATGTCCTGTAGTAGGCATAACTGAGCTATAGCTCAAACAGTATATGCAGTGCATATGTAGTAAAAATAAGTATTAATTTACATTCTGTTCTATTTGTCGTTTGATAAAAGAGTTGCAAATGAAACTTACAGATGTTATCATGATGGTGTTACAAAGTGCTTGCATACTGTTGTTGATTACACTATTTTGATATGCATGTTCTTGTGTCAATATTGTATAAGGCAATTAATTGCAACTGTATCCTGAAGAATGCACTTCTAATTTAAAGAACTTAAAGGCCTCTGCTTGTCTACACTAGAGAAGCCCAAAGTGGGCAGATCACATTAGAGAGCTGCCTTTTCTCTCACAGAAGGAAAATAATGCACCTGTGCAGGAGCTAACTTCTGTTCCAGAGAGATGGATCCTATCTGAGATATTTTCAGACAAATGGGAATAATGTGTGTGGTCATCTTAACTATTTTGGATACTGTATTAAAAAATTAGTTGCTAATTTTTAAAGTTTCTTTTTTTTTTTAATTGACCAAAATATTGCACAAAATATGAATATATGTTACATCTCTTTTAAATATTGGATGTGTATTGGGTGTACTGAACACATCAAATAGGGAGATTAATGTTTATTTATAGAAAACAAAAGAAATATAATCTAATTTTTATCTATTTTAAATTTTAATTTTTTAATTTTTAATTACTTTTTAATGATATTTTCAAGCTATTTTGAGGTAAAAGACTTCTGAAATAATTATTTCAAAGACAAATTGCTCATGCTATGATAGTCTTAAAAAAATACACAAAATTTAAGCAATTATAAAAGCAAAACAGTTGCTTAATTTCCATAAGTACTACATGATAAAACTTTTACATGCAGAAATCCAGATATAGTTGGGTAAGAAATCCCTAGTGTTTGTAGCACCCATTAATAATGTGGGGGAGGGTCTATGTTTAAGGTTTTTAGGCATCATTACTGAAAGGCAGAAATCCTGTGGAGTGGTTTGTCTTTAAGTAATCCCAACTTTCATAATTTAAGATTAATTTTCCATTCTTAATTTGGTTAGTTTATTTTAATTTAATATTGTTTCTAGCGAAGAGATGTACAGCTACTGAAGCATATCAACTTCAGTGGGGTTATATACTGTAGAGATACCTACACAGCACAGTACATGATAATTCTTCATGAAGGTAATCAGTATGGGCAGGGCTATTCATTAATTTAAACATGCTGTTAATCTACTCAAGATACTCTGGGTATCTTTATTCAAGGTTGCTGTTTGTGTTGAAGGAATAAATGACAGTAAGAAGAGATTGTGAGGTAGCAATAGAACTTGCTTTGTCCGGTAGACTTTATAATTAAATGGTAGCAGAGAGTTAGTGCAGATGAGGAGTCCTAACTTCTGTTCTGTGTTTTGGAGAGCTATATTTCAAGCCCATCTCTGCCACCCTCCTATGACTTACTTGACCTCTTTTGCTTCTGTCCTTTCTTGTCATCATTTTACTCTCTCTACACGTCCACCTTCCATAAAACCACCTCTTTTTTATATCCAAGATGTCACTACAGTTTCCTTATCACCCATTCTGATACATGTCTCACCACTGAAGTCTTCTCGTTCAAGACATTTAGGCTGCAGGAAGTTGAACATTTGGTTCACAAGATAGTTTCCCTGCTGACATTTTCTGAGCACACAGTAACCTGTGGTTATCAGAGGAAGCAATTACAGGGAGAGTGCTGCTTGTCCCATGCACACTAATTTGAGCAGATTCAGTCTCAGATAAATTTGAGCAGATTCACTGAGTAATCCTCATAGACCTGTATTAACATGTATGCATTGTAGCAGGAGTGACAAATTATCACAAAAATCAATTCAAAGCTAATATAGAAGTAGTTATTCATAACTTAAGAGGTTTTTCTGCTTATAGAATTAAAGCTGGAACCCTAACCCCTAGCTGTCAGTTCCATCAAATGTCAAGATTTCTTTTCAAAGCAAAGAGCTTCATAGTAAAAAGACCATATGGTTTACTAGCTCTATTCTGTGTAATTTTTCTATAACCTTATTTCTGAAATATATGTAATACCCTGAGATAGATGTTCTGACACTTGGCAGACTGGCAAGTCATTGGAAAAAGGCCCTTAAAAATGCAGTTTATCACACCACCTTCATTATAGGCAACATAGGTTTGTTTGTTGTTTTTTTTTAACAGCAAATTCAATCAGATGAAAAATTGTACAGAAAATATATGGCTTGTATAATACTGTAGATTCTTTCAAATGTATATCAATTATGTCTTCAACATGAACAATTACTTTTGGATTAGTCTTTTTTTATGCAGTGTTACTCTCTTATATGGCAGCCCTCAGATGCTCAAAAAACATGATTTAGGCCCTAGAAGATAATGGGATTGTCTTATATTATACATGATTCTTGAATATTAAGTGTGGGACATTCACTTAATCATGATAGTTTTGTTTTCAGCCTTCAGGGTCTCCCTGGGTTTCATTTCAAAGTTTTATGAGTGCTACTATACAAAAGATTTTGAGATTTGGCTGTAGCAAGAGCAGGGTAAAATGAAATCTGCTATCACTGGGAGAATGGTATGCTATGATAAAATGTTACATAGTGTATCAGTCAAAAAGGAGAAAAGGAAATATATGAGTAAAATGATGCAAATCATTTTCAAAACTTTTGAAATACCATAATGTTCTGTTCTATCTTACAGGAATCCGATTAGCTCCAAAACAAAAACTGAACATCCCAGTGTTATTCATGCCAGATACAATGAAAACTTATGAGGCGGTAGTGGTAATTCATGTAATGAGGGAAAATGGTGAAAACTGGCCTTATGAGGATTCTGCTAAATTAAATAAAGACTTACAGAGGTAATTTATTTTAATAGGAAAAGTAGTTGAGGGTACTCAATCCTGTTATTATTTTCCCCTTTGTCTGTTTGTGTGTATCTCCCAAGAGCAATAAAGTGTCTAATTTTGAAGGCACTAGGTATCCACCATAAGCTTTAAAGGTATCCTGCAAGATATACAGATTTAGGGTAACGCTTTTATCTATTTCAATATCAAATATTTTTTCTAACTTTAAATAAAGAAAATGTAAAGTACTAGCTGCCAGTGCAGTTATGAATATTAAGCAAATGAAAGCTCTTAGATGCCTTTAATTCTTTTAACATATTTGACTAATAATAATTATTCTATGGATATTTTTATTTAATGCATAAAAACGGTATAATTTTTTTTCATTGCAGACATGACATAAGAGATAGCAGATAAGGACAAATGTTCTCATAGCCTTCAAATAATATTCAGAGACACTAAACTAAGTGATAATTGCTGTTCTGATTTGGTTGGATTTTTCTTATATGCTGAAATGCTAAACATGGAGTCTCAACTCTCCAATAGCTCTTAAGACTAGATTTCTTTTGAAGAAAGTCTCATCAGTCTATCATAATGATACTTCTCAATTATTTTCCAAACAGTGTTACTGTAGCAGAGAATGGGGGAATTAAAGGAATACTCTGGATCTATCCAGTTCATGGATTACCAGAAGCACCGCAGCAAAAATTAGTTCCAAGTAAGTAATGACAAAAAACTCGAATTAAAGAAAATTAATTAATTTAAGAAAATGAAAGTCATTTGTGTTCTCACCTGCTTGATCATGAGAATTTGCAGTAGCGCTTTGCTATATCTTAAAAAAGATAAAAGCATGTACTGAAAATAAAATCTCCTTTCCCAACCTACAAAACGAAGCTAAACCTATTATTTTGTTTTCATTGTGGATAAAAGGAGTCATGAGCAGTTGAATATCTGAAGACTTGTGCCATTCAGTGTCCCAGTTAATGCTAAGTTAGAGAAGTGAAGGTAAATCAAACAAAAGACTGACAAAAGGGTAAATTTTCTTCTAGCATACCCAGAACAACCTGCTGGAGAGTTTACAGGGTACAAAATATTGGAGTATGTATCTACTGTTTCTCTCAGCCTTGAATTTGATTCCTTAAATCCCAGAATATACATTAGTGTGAATAGCAGTAAGTTTTCCACTTGCTACTGAGAAGTTAACTTACATTAAAAGATAACTGACATTCATAGGATTTTTGTTGTTACTTATTTTTGGGATAGTAATTGTTTATAGATTTGATACACCAATTTTTTAAAGGTGTGATATATTTCCAGAACTGTGAAATAGAAATTGTGGATAGTATTTTAAATCTATAACCTTGATGAAACTACAGCTCAAGGTTTAGATGAGGGACAATTTTACACCAACTTGTCTTTTCATCTTGTCTTCTGATGAGTGAATATAGTACCTTTCTACACTAAATAGACTAAGGTACAGGAATAACTTCTGGAAAGCTATAGAAATAGACATTTTTGCTATCAATTTAGTTTGCTTAAGGACCATTTGGTTGCAGGCAAATGCCAATGATATAATATTAATTAGAACTTTCATCTCTTTAATTTCTACTTTCATACCTTAAGGGATGAAGCAGAATATTATCATGCTATCAGCTGTTGCCCATAATGACAGTTTTAACGAGTCTCATTAGCATTAAAACTATGTATATTGATGTGAATGTTTGTTGTGTTATTTAAAGCTGTTGTGTTGTTCATTGGCAGACTTTGTGATAAATCTCCCTTTTATTGGGCTGTTCTTTTCGTTACAGAATCACAAAATCTGTGGGTGTAGAAGTTATTAATTAAAACTGTTAGCATTCATAAACTGCTTAAGTAACATCACTTTTATATATGATTAGGAACTTAAGTAAATCTTACATAATTTTAAATTCTTAAATGTTTTTTTAAAACAGCAGAACTAAACTGTGCAATATTTGAATTAATGCAATTAATTTTGGATATGTATCTCTCTTTGGTCATCACTGTGTTACATTGGGCCATTTATTTATTTTTTTATAAGGAAGTACTAGATCCTACATTGAAAAATGACCTGGAATCCTGTTTATAAGTGTGTCTATGAAGCAGAATCCATTCCTGCTATAATTCTGAAAGCCTATGGTTTTCAGTTATAAATGGACTTTTTAAAAATCTCTGTTATAAGATATGAATCCAAAGCAGGCCATTTACGGGAAACCTTCTTTGGTTTTAAATCATTGTTTTAAAAATGATCAAAATAGTATTTCCATTTCTTTTAATGCAGACATTTTTTAAAATTGCCTGAAGGCTACAAACTGTTATGTCAAAAACAAAATCTGCCTTGCTACGGTATTAGACAGCTCATCTTTCATATCATTCTTATTTGCATCTTAATATATTTAAACTTCAATAAGTTACTTGGCTTAGTATCTCATGAGACCAATTAAAATGATCTGTGGTCACAATCCATGTAGTACATGTTAAGGAGATTACAACTTGGCTGTTTTATACAATGGAGAATCATCCAGATTTTTTTTTCCAATTCTTGTAGACTGAAAGTGGGATAGAATAATTTAGGTTGGAAGAGACAACCAGAGGTCATTTAATCCAGCTCCTTGCTCAAAGCCAGGTCTGACTACACCAGGTTGCTCAGGGACTTTTGAGTAAAGATTTTTAGCCATAAATATTACTTAGCCATATAAGAAAAAGAAAATGTAAAATCATTTCTCATAGTAAGAGGAGCGGTGGAATAGAAAATGATGTGACACAACATGTGCACACAGTAATCTGAAATACCTGATAAGCTGCTGTAATACAGACAGTGTAATTTATTCTTAAATACAAGGCCATGCATCTCAGAAGAAAAAGATGTGTTTTTAACTATCAACTATTTCAGTAACTCTCCCTCATGGAAATGCTTAGAAGAGAGCTAGAAGAGAGCTATAGAAATAATTTAAACCCTGTTGAACAGGAAAAGGCCAAGGGAATTTTTTTTTTTTTAATTTTATTTTTTAGAGAAAGAAAATTACTTGAACTTGGTATGCAATGATCTGTTAAAAAAAATGTGTAGTTAATCAAGCTTCAGAACTCAAAGTTGAAGATAAATAAATATGGTATCAAAGTATGAGTTTCATTGCTCTTTTTAAAAATATTTTATATGATTATTTACCAAGATGTGATTCTAAATTATTAATCCTTAAATCTTTATGGTAAGCTCAGACTTTATTTTTAAAGAATTGTTGGTATAAATCTGATGAAAATAATATGTAGACCTTAAAACTGAGAAGTGTGTAATCAGCTCTTCTTTTTCATGTTGATTTCTGTAACTAGAACATTTGAAGACTTTTCTTTAGGAAAATATATTTTTCTTTCAGTTCTTGCATCTATTTTATACCTCTTTTCTGCCACCTATAATTATTGGCACAGAAAGAATGATAAACAATATCTATTGTAGTAAGCTTTATAAAATCTGGTGTATAAGCTAAAAACCAAACTACCTTGTAATGAAAAAAGTAATATTTGAGAATCACTTACTGAACTGAAAAAAGATCTGTCATGCTTCAAAGAGAAACTCATGTCAGAATACTTTTTATTCTGTCATAGTTCTATAAAAGCTGAAGTTTAAAAAACAGTACTTTTAAATTAAAAACCCAAAGAGTAACAATATTCTTTCATTTAACTTTTGAATTTAAATTCTTTAATTTCTTTTCAGTCTTTCTTTCTTACATGTCATACTATGCCATAATTTCTATTTGAAAAAAATGAACTAAAGCAAAGATATATTTCATGATTAAGAAAAAAAAAAAGAGGATTGCAAGTGCTATTGTGAGCTAACTGTAGGAACAGACTTTCGTTTGCTTAGCAATATTTTCTACTACTTCAACTAAACAGAACAATAGAAACTGTGTGTTGGGCTTAAGCTTTCAGTTGTCTTGGTCCTTATTGAAATTCTCATATAACATTTAACATCTGTGTTCAATTTTGTTTTTTTTTTGTTAAAATCAAGATGACAATGTTTGCTTGGGTTCTTGCTTCCCTGTAGCTGTGGTACACTGTCGAGCCAGGCAGAGAGTAGAAAGACGAGTAGAAGTGCTGCTGACTGGTGGACTTCCTGCTGCAACTGCTATGCCTGCTGCAAGAAATTCTGCTATGGTTCATACAAACAAGCCAGCCAACACCCAAGAAAATGTTCAAGTCACTGATGGTAAGAATGTGTAGTTTGGATACCACACTGTTTTAAGAACATTGCAAATAAGGTTAGCACTTCACCAATTGTGAAGCTCTGTCATGACAACAGATGAGTTTTAGAAGTTCCTTCTCTCAGTCCTGTTCTACCCTGTTGCAAATATGGGACGTTTGTATGATCATATGTCTGCAGTTATAGGCACCTTTGAGCCTGAAATGATCTTTATGTATCTGTCTTGAATGTGAGGCTTGCAAACATGCCATCTCTCCTTTAAAAGAGAATAGCTTGCACAAAGTCTGACGTTAGCAAAAGTATGCTGTGTAAGCACTTCAAGGAAGTATTTATCTGCAGATTGTCCCTATTTGTAAGATGCATTCTCACTAGCAGGCCAGTATCTGCAACAAAATGGATAGAAGGAGGCTTTGTTCAGAAGAAGCAATAAAGCATTATAAAAATATAGCTTCCACTTACTGTTAAACAGCAGAGGACACAGTGAAAATCAATTTCTTCACAGATACAGCAGCTTGTCATATGTCTCTTTGAAATAGAACGATACAACATATAAGTAGTGAGAAAAGAATGCCTGTTACTGTTACATGCCCAGGATCTCTGTTAATATTTGTGTGTTAACAGTCATACTTAATACAACAAACTATGAATTGTTACATTTTACCTTCATCAATTATTGCACTTTTGAAACTTAACCTTATTTTTTTTGGAGATCAGTCATCCTACTTTTCAAGAAAAATATTATTTAAAAATTATGGCCCGTGAAATGAGATGCCTTACTGTGTGTTTCACATATCTATAAATGAAGAAAAGGACTTCACCCATGCTCCTACTTTAAGAGTGTGCTGCATTGTAAAATGATAAAAGATGAGTCTGTAGAAGTTGCTATGACTGCAGTCTATTAGGCAATCAGTTTGACAGGTAGGCAAGCTTGGCTTTTGTGCCTCATTTCTGCTATTTAAAGTCTGGTCCACTACAGGCTTTACAGGAATACCATATTACAGAAACTCTCCTGCCAAAGAACTGTGAAAAACTGAAAAGCTGTAAAAGGTAAATCAAGATGAATTAGATACTTCCTTTAAGGATGATTTTCATGTAAACATGCCCCTGCCCTGCCCACTGACCAATGTGATCTCATATTAACAATCACTGTCCAGATCTTTAAACAAATTTTATTTCTGAATGATTTTAAAACAGGAAGGGATCTGAAATTGAGCAGTTAACAAGAGCTTTCACAGCATATGCTTCCTAATTAGTTAATACTTATAATAGCTTAAACTTTATTTATAAACTGTATTTATTCATATTTTGGTGTCAAAGATTTTGTCTGGGCACATTATTATATATTCCCATGTTACAAAGTGATATTGATCAATCTAGTAAAATAAAAAGATGTGAAGTTCTCAATGTAGATTCTTGCTTCTTTGGAGAACTGTAAATACTGTTACAGAATTTTATTCAGCCTTGTGAGAACAGCTGTGTATTAATATACAGGGTACATGGTTGTGTTTTTTTACTATGGAGTAGCAGGCTTAGCTGATCATTATCAAAAAATCATAGAATGGTCTGGGTTGGAAAGGACCTTAAGATCTAATCCCAATCCCCCTGCCATGGGCAGGAACACCTCACACTAGACCAGCTTGATCAAAGCCCTGTCCAGCCTGGCCTTGAACACTGCAGGGGATAGAGCATTCACCACTTTGGGCAACCTGTTCCAGAGCCTCACCACCCTCACAGTAAAGATCTTCTTCCTTATATCTAACCTGAACTTGCCCTGTTTAAATTTAAACCCATTACCCCTTAATGATTCACTGCTTCCCATTGCTAGTCCTGCAGAGACTACATTAATGGGTTGTAACATTATTGACTTGTTACATATGAGTAAGCTACCTTAAACATATCTGGGCTGTTTCCCTCCAACATGGTGGTATCTGAATTGCCAAGAATAACATTCATTGAGCAAGTTGAGGCAGCATTTTGAAAGACTTACTTACAGATTTATGATATGTATTGTGTGTTTTATTAATACAAATAATATTTCATATTCATTACCATTGGCTTCTGCACATACTGCAAGACTGATCTGGGACATTGCATCTTTTCAAATGAAGTCTGGTAATGAAATGCTTTGTACCATGAGTAGTATGATCATTTATAACTGTGCTTTTCATGGTTTTCAATGACATTATATGTCATTCTTGATAGATGAATTTGATGCCCATTAGGAATCAAATTTAATGGTACTATCTAAGTTTCCTGCAGTCTACCAGTAATAAATAGAAGTGTAAACCTAAGATAACAGCCTGGCAAGCCGTTTCTCCTTTTTTCTGTTTTGAAAGAGTGATTCATCAGAGTTTATATGTGATGTGTAGTTAGAAGCTTTTACATCCAAAGATAAATTATTATAATTACTGGCAGATCAGATTTAAAAAGTTACTACTGGGCTTCAGTATTTAAATTATTTGGACAAGCATGAATTGAAGAAAAATCTGCAAGCAGGTCTTTTGTGTAAAGAACTAAATTTCATCCAATCCAGAAGACACAATTTCAAACAGTAAATTGTTATAATTTCTTAAAAGAGAGGGGACAGTCTAAATACTGTCTAGCTAAAATGACACTTGTTCAGAAGTCAGCAGAGCTCCAGAGATCAAATAATTAAAGCTTATTGGTTTAGACATAACAATTATGATATGCCCTTTTTAAAGAATAATTTCCAAATGTATTAAATACATATTTCTACCCTCTATGTATTTTAAATCTATCTTCTTCCATATGTCCCTACTGGTATTTTCAGTGAATGTAATTTAAGAGCCAAGATTCACCCAAACAAGTATGGAGATTGTTACTTTTTATTTGAATAAACCAGCATTTTTACTTTACTTTAAATATTCATTGTGAAATACACGTTTCATTTTCTGTGATCTTCTAAGAACAACATTCCAACACTCACAAATTATCAGTTATAGATATTTGACTGAAATTCACAACTTTCTAAGCAACCAGATTTGACTATGTTGAGAGCATGTGGGGTACACAGAGAGAGTATCTTCTGGTTGAGGAAGTATGCTTATCAGTCCTGTTCTGTCTTTTTTGTTTGAAATGGTCGTTTGTAACCTCTCTCTTGCAATTGCTTCAGTTTGTTCCACCATTTGCAAAAACAGCAAATGTATTCTGTAAATTTTTAGCAGTTATCTAACATTCAAAAATTCCTGCAATATAAAAAAGAACAAGAAAGTGTTTCTTTCGGATTAACAGTTGCTGAAAGCTGTGAGCAATGGCAAAATGAAAATGTTGACATTGTGGTGAACAGCCAACTGGGTCACTCTATTATGGATTACTACCTTGTTTTTAAAGTTGAAAACTCCAGCTAAAAACAGAGAACTAGTAGAAGCAAAGAACAGAACATCAGAGTAGAGATGGAAGCCTATATAAGTTATTTTGTCAACTATATAATTTTTGTTAACATCTGGTAATTTGATTTTTATTTTGAGAGAAACATGGGAGAGATTTGATGTATTGTTTGTTTCCTTTAATGAACTGCAATATATGTAGGTATTTTCATGAACAACTTCAAATAGGACTTTATTTACCTATTGATATACAAGGTTACCACTTAGTCCACTAAAAAAAGAAACAATTCAGCTTTTTTTTCTCTCACAAGTCATCCCTCCTACTCCCATTTCTTAATATAATTAGAATAATCACTAGAAATACTGGAAAAAAACCCCAACTTGTCAGTTGTGAGGAAGAATGATTTGGAACTGCTCATATTTCTGTTTACAGAAAAGTCACTCATTTCTGTTTCTTTGCCATTTCATAAATTGAAATCTACAAGCCTTAAGAACAACAGTCATCATTACATAAATTAAAAATTGCTTTCTAACACCTATGCAAAATCGTGCTCAGTTAAAATATTCAACACTTGCAGGGAACCATATAAACCATTATAAACTAATCTGATGTTAGTAATTTAACTTAACAAAGTACAAAACCAGAAATTAATACAAACCCAGAAATTATGAAATTCTTTCTACCGTTACTTTTCAGTATGATGTATGTCCAGGAAAAATGAGAAATCCAAAAGAATCGATTGGTTACCACAAAATAACATATCCCTGAAACAAGAACACACAAATAATAGATATCTCTTAAAAATGTATTTTGACTTAGCAGTTAAGGGAAACCTAGGCAATATAATTCGCTGCAAGCGTCTATGAATTACTTTGTTATATGATTGTGCTTGCCAAAGTTCTATTTCTCCCAGTTCTTGTTCACAGAATTTCCTGTAATTACTTCCATAGAAGTGGAACCACTATATCGTTTTGTAAAGATATTTTGGGAAAGCTTCTGTAAATTGAAACCATAGTCAGCACAGATCTCCAAGGTCTTAGCTGTGCTTCTGCAACATCCCAACACCTCACAATAATCTGGCTGCATTAATTTGCAAACTTTTATTATAGAAAAGAAAGCAGAGGGTTTATACACCTAAGTTTGCCTCAGACCATGTATCTGACAGTCGCTGTACTACCAAACACTTGCACACATACTAGTCTATTCCAAATGCTGTTACATTTCCAGGTTATTATAACCTGTCATTTTTGCGCTAAAATTGTCTGTACTTGTCTTCTGTTTCTGAAGCTGCACTGTTCAAGTGTTGTTGTTAGAGAAAATAAAGTTATCTACTTTAGATCTTTATCCCTCCCACATTGCACATTTCCAATCACAACTTGAAGCAAGAAAGAAAAAACAAAACTTCCTCACTTGTTATGGACAATATGTATAAAACATTATGATTTTATAAATTAATGCATTGGGCCTGAAGTTTTGACAGTTTAAAAACAAGTTGATCTGAAGCTTTGAAGATACAGATGGATTTTAAATGTATAAGACAAGTAGTTAGAAGTTACATAGAATCACCATGGAACAATGAATGAAACTGTAACCTTGAACCATTACTCTTTAAACCAGTGGAGAAGACAGAGTGAAACCCCAGAAATTTACTGCACAAA